TACAGAAGTAGCCTGACTAGCACAGTTACAACGCAGTCGTTCTGCTCTACTTGTGCTGATCAGTTTTCACTTGTAGATTTTTATCTGTTAACAAAACAACTAATATGAGCATTCAAGTTCCTAGCTCTAGTTCTTTGAATTACATCTTTTGTTAGTCAGAAGTAGGTAGTAGTAAGGAGCCATTATATAGTCAGTGGAGAAAGCTGTCCTATAGCAAAACAATTTCAACTACCTAATGGGATGGCATTGACAAGAGGAACCAGACTTGGAGGTGGACAAGAGGCATCAGAAACAAGTTGCAACGTAGGAAATTCTGGTTAGCCAAGAGGAAGACTTTACCAAGAGGATGATCATAGCTTCTGAAGATACAGAATCTCCTTCCTGGAGAAACTTAACTGAACAAGGCCCAAAGCAGCCTGATCTAGCTGGTTCTGCTTTACATAAGAGTTGAGGGAGTTGGATTAAAAAACCTCAAGAGGTCTTTTCAAATTTAAGTTACTCTAATCTTGGAACAGTGAAGTCTAATGCCTGAAACAGCCTGGAGCAGGCTGTCTTTGTACCTCAGTGTTAATAGCAATTCAGCGAATGAAGTTGTCAGCTCAGTTTTACAATTATCTGTGTTAGTGATGCTGTGCTCTTGATTTTAGCTCTTCATTGACTGCTCATGCCCTTTCCTCTGCTCCATTCTTCATTCTGTTTCCTGCCTGTGCATTCCCACACAATCTAATTTTGGGAATCCAAGCCTTCCTGGGCTTTTGGCAGATTGAAACTGCATTAGTTACATGTTGGTTGAAGCCTTTGTCCAGCTTTAATGGCTGAAGTTTCTTTCCTTGGAATAACCTTAGTCCAGAATGAAAAACAGCAGTCTGTAGATGAAAGACTAGCATGCCAAATTGAAGACATCCCACGTTCCTGCCCACTTCCTCTACACTTGGGTAAGAAACCTTGTAGGAGAGAAGTATGTACAGTAACTTAAGTAGCTGTTTCTGAATTTTATTGCAGGTTTTGGAGAAAGTGGATGTAGAGCAGAAAATGAGCATTCGATTTCTTCACTGATGGATGGAGAGCCTGTTCCTTTCTACCCCTACTATATAATAAGTAGAACTTCATTTTCTCCTTAGCACCTTCACCCAGAGCGTTGCTACTGGTGCATATACACTACATCTCCAGCCCCTCCCTGATTTACCAATGTGAACATTCCCTGTGCATCAGGAACAAAGGGAAATGGCTGCCATGCAACTTGGAAAGGAGCATTTTTTTTTTAATATTTTCCTTCAGTTTTTTTTTTTTTTTAAATCCTTTCTCCCTTGCCTCCTCTTGCACTACTGTTTCAGCAAAAATGCCTCTCCTTGTGTACAGCTGTTTAAGCTACAAACTGATTCTTCTGAGCTCTGACTCAGAATGGACAACGGGAACATGCCACAGAAATGCCCTCTGAAACGTTTTGGAGACAAGCATCTACTCGATTCCTAGGTGCAGTGATAACAATTCACTTTTTGCTTCCAGTAGCAATACCACATTACAGCTGCCTTCCCTCCCCCTTTCCATTTGGCTCTTTACATACAGATTCGTTTCTTCCAAGTCTGCCTTTTACTTGAGGACTTCTCAATTTCTATGGCTTCATTGTACAACTAGCACTGAATGCATGATGATAGCCTAGAGTACTTTAAAGTGCTGTGAATAGATTTTATTCTTTGTAGGATGAATTCACAGGGACAATAGGAGAATCTGTGGCAGAGACAGGCTGTGATGTCCTCAAAAGGGATAGGAATTCTGCACTAAGTTGCTTAAATTGTTCTAGTAGCACATGCAGAAACTTGGTTTTGTCCTTGACAGCCACTGGACCATGAAGTACCCTCTCCAGGTTACTTTGCTCTAGGATCCCTCCTCCCATCAGGGTTGTTTTGCCTCTGGAAGTGTAAACTTGTTTACCAGTGTACATAATGCAAGAAAACTAGTCATGCCAAAATCTGGATTTGCAGTTCTGTCACTGCCCCTGGAAATGGTGTGAACTGGATTGTTTTTTGTTTGATTTTGTTTTTCTTTTAATCATAGTGGCCTATAAATAATTATTTACATTTTCCAGTATGGAAGTCCTGGTGTGTTAGATTTGTGTTGAGGGTAGAGGCTGTATTTATGAAAGCTCTGGCTTTCATAAATACATAATATGTTCTTTCCCAAATTACATGTTCTTTCCCAAATTATATTCTTATCCCAAATATTTTAGGATATATTTCTACACAAATCTCTTTGCAAGTGTAAGATGATTTAATACTGATAATGTAGTGCTAAGAGTTCAAGTGTGTTAAAGATCATTGAAGATTCAATAGTACCATAATTTTCTGTGGCTATATTGGCAAATCATCTCATGCAGTTCAGCTGAAGCATCCTACAGTCTGAGAGATCCTTCCAATAAAACCAAAAAACCCAGGAGCTTCTTTGTTGAAGAATTGGTGTTATAACTGCTTCTCTATGTCATGTGTTATCATTTCTATAAATACTTACCAGTCTCCAACTACTCTCAAATGTGCATTTCCTTTTTTTCCCATTTTTTTAATCATCTCTTGTGTTAAAGAATAACATGCAAGTGTCTGAAGGTTTTTTGATTTAAGGGATGGAAAAGTGAAATGTTGCACTTCATTGTTTAGCAGAGTGCAGCACAATTCTAGGAAAAAAATGTAAATTAAAAACTTCTGTATGAGAGAGGAACATTATAGTTTTATAACAGTGTCATGTAAAATAGGAATTAACAATGTGAAAAGACTGAAAAGCTAAGTGTTTTTAGGCTTTGTTATTTGCTTAACAATAGGTGTTGCTCTCTTCTGGCTATATAGTTGTAACCTACAGTTGTGCCTTATTGTCCCAGCGAGACTGGAAACTGTATTTATCAATCCATAAATAAACCTTCCTCTGTATAAACCCTATTCCCCCCCAACTATCCTTTAATGATTAGAGAAGTTAAATACCAGTAGAGTGGTGCTAGCAGGCCTTACAAATCAATTTCTTATCAATGAGCTTATTTTCAGAGTATTAATGATCCTTTGTTTGCCTGGTAGAGTGGAGGAAGCTAGTGCAAAACATGAGCCCAAGAAGAGAGGTCACACACCCATACTACTGCACTGTGGATCGTGTAACAACGGGAGCTTTACACCTCTGCATGGTTCCAAACTAGGCTTTCTTTTTTTCCCCTCTCCACAGTGTTGTAGTGTTGTTCTAATTAAAAGGTTTATAATATCAATGTTAGTGATGTCTGTCCTTACAAGTCCCCACCTTGGACATCAGGTATTATTGCCAATGTGCTTTAGGGTGAACACAAATACTGTAATAGGAGTTTTAGAGTCAAGATCTTCAATTTGTTAAAGTTGTTCAAAACTAAGCTATACATAAACAAGATTTCCACAACAGTTGTACTTTGCTTGTAGAAATTAAGTCTTCTTAGGATAAAGGTCAGCTGTGAAGCTTAAAGTCTGGAAGAGGAATAAGATTATCCTTATGGATAAGTGTGGCATGAGGTCTGTACAAAACAAAATACTGTATTCAATACAGCATTTTACTCATGAAAGCCAGGACTAAAGGTAATGTTAGTTTCCATAAGCTTACAATGGAAAATTACTTTCAAAGTCTGCTTTCAGTTCTTTTAATTGCCAACTTAGGTTGGACAGAGCCTTGGCTGACATAGTCAAGGTTGAGGGGCCTGTGCCCATGGCAGGGAGACTGGAATGACATGATGTTAAGGTCCTTTCCAACTCGAACTATTCTGTGATGCTGTAAGTGAGTGTGTGGATGTAATACTTAAGTTGGGAACAGTGTTTCACTTTAAGCTGCCAGTCTTGCACTGAAACGCTACTTAGTAGCAAAGTGCACATTAAACGAATTAAAATTTCAACTGAAAGGGCTTGTAGTAGCTGTCTGCGGTGAATCACGGTTAGACGGGGGTGTTTCTCCAGAGTTTTCTGAATGGGTAAGTACTCCACGCGGTTCAGCGCAGCCACCCTTCAGCTTGAAGTGTAGAATTACCGCTGCTTAACGAAAAAAGAACAATAGTTTGTGTCCTGTGAATGAAGGTTGTCATTCAGACACCCGACAGCCGCGGGCGCCGCTGGGTCCGGCGGGAATCGGCGCGGGTGGCCGCCTGGGGCACACTGCTGCGCAGTGAAATGGAGGACGGGCGAGCGGGCCGTGCCTGCGGGCCAGCAGCCCAGGGGCTGTCCTGGACGTGCCCCCTCTTGCCTCGAGTGCCGGCAGGCGGGTGCTGGCAGAGCTACCGGACCGGGTCCCTCGCAGCCCCTTCGCCCTCCCGCCTGCGGGGCCTCACCCCCGGAGCGGCTCCTTTAAATCCGCCTGGAGGTCACCGCAGGCTTCGCTCGGACCGGCCCTGCTCGCGCGGCTCGAGCCAATCCTTTTCCAGGTGTGTGCCTTCCCCGGGGCCAATCAGAAAGGAGCGCCTTGGAGGCGGGAGGCCAGCCTCCGTGATGGACTGCTCTGGTGGCCAATCACTGCCCGAACTGGACGGCAGAGGCATACGCGCAGCACCCAATAGGCTTGAGGCTGAGTAGGCGGGCCCGGCGTCGCCGGGCGCTGCGAGCCCCCCGCCGGGTGGCCGCGGTGAGGAGGGGAAGATGGCGGAGTGAGAGGAAGAGGCGAGGAGGCCGGGGCCGGCTGCGGCCCCGCGGCCTGGGCCGCGCTCAGGTGAGTGCGGCGGGGAGCAACGGCGACCTTCGGCGCGGAACCGCACCCAGCCCGGTGCCTGGTGCCCCGCTCCCTGATTGGGCTGGGTCCGGGTGCCCGCGCGCCCGCCTTCCCGTCCTGCTCCGTGATTGGGCTGGGCCTGGGCATGTTCGCGCCCGCCGCTTCCTGAGGCGGGTGCCGCCCGGCGCTCAGTGCCGCGGCCCCGGGCCGGGCCGGTGGGCGCAATTGCGCGGCTCCCTGCCCGCCCGCCAGCCTCACCTGGCAGCGCGGCCTCCGTGCCGGGGAGAGGGGGTTCGAGTGTGTGTGTGGGTCCGTGTGGTGACGGCGGGTGCCAGGCGGGGCGCGGCGGTGGGAACGTGCCCCTTCCACCCGGCCGCCGCCTAGAAAAGTCCGAGCAACTTCGGAGCTGGGGCGAGGCCGTGAGCGGGCGGGCAGCAGTGCGGGGCTGTAGCAGATGGCTGGGAGGGAAGCGCCTGCCTCCCGCACAGCAGAACGTCCGGACTGGCTGGGAAGAGCCGGAACGCGCTTTCGGCGAACAGCTGCCGCTGACAGAGACCGTGCAGACGAGAACCCAAAATGTAGCATCCGAAATTAGCCTGTTTGTCTCCGTCTGCAAGCATAGCGCTGGGTATAGTTACTCTTCTGTTATCGTTGTTATTCTTGGAATTTGTGTGCTGGATGGATTTGGCTGATTTGAATAGTTTTATCCTTCTTTTCTGATGTCTTTATGCTGTAGTGACACAGGCGTGCACAAAGGGGGTGGCTTCTAAGTCGTTTGACAAAATCAGAACGTGCAAGTGGTCTACAACACAATATAGAGAGAGAATATAGAGCAATTAATTGTAGCCTTCTGAATTCGTGTGATTGTTGATAGTGAGCCAAAAAGGACTTTGCATGTGGTGAAACATATAAAACCAGTGACGTATTAGTAATGTGAGGTCAGGTATGCCCTGAATTTTTCAAAATTATTGGAGGTATTTTGCACTACAGAATGGAACTTGGTTTAAATTAAAAAAAGGAGAGGAGGCGTCTTACTAAAAGAATTACTTTCAGTAGCCTGAAATTCCTGATGTGCTGTATTTGATAACAAGTCTTTAAATATCGAGTTTGTAATAGAGTTAGAAGTGACTTCATTTTCAGTGTGCATATCAGGTCGAAGTAAGAAATGAAGTGGTTAAATGAGAAGCATGGCTTTAGATCTTGTGGGGATGTGGCATTATCATACATAATGTAATAATGAATTAGTTGTTTGTAACTGCTGAAATAACTCAAAAGAAATACAGTAATCATATTTGATACAACCAGTTCCAAAAGCAGTAGCTGCTTATGAGAAAAATTTCCTAGGGTATGTTTTACAGTTTCATGTGCTGTATTATTCACGTAGTAACAGTAATAGCAGCTTATGAGCAACATAACATTAAGGCACAATATGCTGCTGATGATGAATATTCCTACGTATGCATGTCTGTGTATGAATTGGTAAGATATACCAGGGGATTTGCCTTTGGCATATTGCATGTAAAGATATTTCTGCTTTATGTTATCATTAAAAGAATAATAACCAATCAACTTTCTTTCAGAGAAAGTACGCTATTTTTGCAGTAAGGAAATTCAGTTGGATTAACATTTGTTCTTAAATGCTTTGAATTCACAAGAGCTTCGAGAAGTATCTTAGACCAGACAAAGCAACAAAAATAGTTTTCTGTTACCCTGGTCTATGTCAGATCAGCTCTCTCCACTGCTTTACAGCCTTGCCCATAGCGCTGTGAGTTTGCAGTGTGAAGATATGCACGAATATGGCGTTCATTTTATGCTGGTGACCCGTCGTTCAGGGGTGTCAAAAACCGTGGGCCAGCGAAGGGTAAAAATTCTGACCGAGCCTGTGGAGTGTGGAGTATCTCTTGAGCGCCTCCTACGTTCATTCTTAAAAGCTAGAAAAGGACCAGTGTTTGAAGCCAGCCCTGACATGCCGGAGGTTACATGAACGCAAGATGTGAGCACTTGTGCAGTCTTAAAGAGAAAGCGATGATATTCCTAAAATAGTATGTGAAGGGATGTTTCTTTAACCTGAGCAGTATTCAAGGAGCATGTTACTGCAGTGTGTGTGTCATGGGATAGAAAGCTCAGCTGTAAAACAGCCTTTCCTGTTTTCTCTGCCACTGTAAGAAGTTCTGTTCAACGTTGTACTGTCAGTGTAACAGTTATCCATTGGAAACCTCATAGGAGGGGAAGGTGGTTTTCTTAAAAATATAAAGTGAAGCATAGCACTCATTTAGGCTTGAAGTCTTCTGAGTGGCAGAATGTGTGCTGTGCCCAAGATGTCTGTCCAGCAGACAAGCACCACAGCAGGGGCATTCAAGCTGTGTGCCCAGCAGTCTGGTGCTGCGTTGCTCATGTCCAGATGCTAAGTCTGAGATCCCTTAGAGAGGACAAAGGAAATCAGCTGGCAGGTCCTTATGTTTTCTGGCCTCTTCCTAGGCTGGCCACTATTCTAGGTTTCAGATATGTCTTTGTGTACCCTTTTGAAGGTGATAGTGGTCTCTGTCTCTAATATGCTGCTGGTGTCTACCATCCCGATCTGGTGTCTTCTGAAATTGCAGGGGGATGTGCTGGGATCTTGATGACCTGCTAACCTTGGTGCTGTTAACACAAGTGCTTTTGAGAGCCCTATTCCTGTTCTTTGTTCCTTTTGGTGCCCCCACACTCAGACATTCCTATTCGTAACGGGGCTGGAGCATCTCCCATATGAAGACAGCCTAAGATTTGGACGCTTCAGCCTGGAGAAGAGAAGGCTGAGTGGAGACCTCATAGCAGCCTTCCAGTATCTGAAGGGGGCCTATAAGGATGTTGGAGAGGGACTCTTCATCAGGGACTGTAGTGATAGGACAAGGGGGTAAACAGGAGAGGTTCAGGTTAGATATAAGGAAAGCTCTCTCCAGTCACACCAGTCTTAGCCTTTCTATTGCAGTTCTCTACATTGGGTTTAGATGACTTGTTAACTAGAAAGTGGAAGGAGACAGAAGCAGCTAATTTTTTTTTGCAGGACTGTAAGTTACTTCTGTTGTATTTTGTGCTTCTAATTTAAGCTTTTGTCATTATCAGTTTTTCGGTTAAATTTGACCCTTTTTAAGCCATGGGAGAGATCTTAGTGGAGTTGTGGTCTGTAGCACTAATTTTGCTTTTTGTATCTTCACACATCACCACAGTTAACTTTTAAGTTTTTGTGTCTTGGTCTTTTTACCTAAACCTGCTTCTAGATCTTTCCTTCCTCACATACTTCTCAGGCTGTAGGGAAGAGATTATCTTCTATGTCCCTGTTAATACTGTTTATCTCCTGGAGCATTTGCATGTGTGGGAGAGAAAGATAGTATTTTGGAAAGCTGGATTTGTTGGATCTGAGTTTCTGCTTACCAGTATAATTAAAACTAAGGGTACCTTAAAAAGGAGTGTGTGGGGTGGGGTGAAACTTAGCATAATTGTAAGCTGTTGATTTTAGTATAGCTTCCAATTAAGTGTACTGATTATGTCAGAGCATTGAGTTTTTTTCCTCTTTTCTCTTTTCCCCCTTGGTGCATTGATCAGAGAGCATGTGGATCTATACGAAAAGACAAATGGTGCAGTTTTGGTGGTAAATTTATTTATGAGATACTTCATCTCTTTTTTTGGCTTTGAAATCCTTGAAGTTTAGTTGCCTGTATCCAAGAAGTTGTCTATCTAAATGTGAGATTTGAAGTTCATGGAAACTTAGCCTTTAGTTATGGTAGTTAAAAAAAAAAGAAAAAGCATGAATGGGCAGTAGGCCAAAACTTAATAAAAATAAAACTTTCTGAATTCTTATCATAACAAGATTAATATATTTTTTGAGTTATATGATAGTAATATAATTGAATTTTCATAAATATTTCTTGTCCTAGTTCAATTGATAATATGTTCAGTAAGGTATGAAACAAGAAAAATAGTTCCTTTTTTTTAGTTCATAATTTCCATTAGCTTTTAAGTGTAGAGTTGATCTTGTCACCCTCACTTTCAGTGCCTGCTAATTTTCAGTAGCCTTGATTTATATCCAGCTGCATTTGCAAGTTCTGTTGGTACGAGTGTGAACTCTGCTCCCACACAAGCTATGAAAGTCTGATAGAAAGCATATCAAGCAGAGCAGTTAAAACCCAGGGCATGCAAAGGCAGTGAACTTGTTATAATGAAAATTAAAAATAAAGTAGATTAAAGCCAACTAAATTTCAGCATTGGATAAATCATTCCTTTGTATGAGTTGCTCTAAGTGTCAACTCCTGCTTTCTTATAATAAGCCTTACTACAGTATTTAGTTTAGTTAATTCAGAGTTTTAGAATAAGTGAAAAACAGCCCAACTTTTCAAAGACTGGCCTTGGGAATTGTTCCTGTTCTGATAAGTATGTTTGGGGAGTACCTGATGTGAATCATTTGCTGTTGGTCCTCAGCTTCTCAAAGCCAAATACCGATGGCAGGTGCTTGAGGGAGGATTTGAGTAGGAAGGGTTAGAATTGATAACATGAGAATGGAATACCTACCCTGAAATTCAGGGCTAGGGGTTATCTCTGGATTTTCTGAAGGCATAGGGCCCTGATGCTTGCGGAAAGGCTGTGTTGTGCAGGAGGTGCTTTGGTGAGGATACTGGGAAGTTTTAATAACGTAATTACTGTGTGATGAAATAGCTCTGCCTGTAGCAATCCATTATTCTTGCAGTTAGGTTGTCTGCTCAGCATCCTGGAGAGCAGTCATTAGGCTTCCTTGTTACAGGGGTTTGTTATTAATGTGAAAGAATTTCCTGCCTTACTGGAGTCTGAAATTGTGCCTAAGTTCCTATGAAATGTGTGTCTGTTGATGGTAGCTTACCATAACAAGGGCATTTATCTTCAGAATATGCACAATTAAAAAGTTATTTTGGTAGTGGTATATACTTCATGCTCCAGAGATAGTCAGTTGAGCATGGGCTGTGGCTGTTCTCAGTAAATAGAAACCAAGAAATTCCAGGGAAAAAGGGAATTTGATACTGGGTAAACTACGTTTTGTGGAATGAGTGACAGACATGATTTCATTCCAGGGAGCAGAACAGTTTCTGAACAAAAGCCTTCAAGACATGTGCACCTGGAATACTGTGCTCGGTTCTGGGCCCCTCATTACAAGAAAGACATTGAGATGCTGGAGCAGGTCCAAAAAAGGACAAAGGAGCTGGTGAAGGGTCTGGAGCACGTCTCTCATGGGGAGTGGCTGAGGGACCTGGGGTTGTTCAGTCTGGAGAAGAGAAGGCTCGGGGGGACCTTACCACTCCTTGCAGCTGCCTGAAAGGTTGTAGTGAGGTGGGGCTCCATCTCTTCTCCCAAGTAACAAGTGATAGGACAAGAGGAAATGGCTTCAAGGTGCGCCAGGGGAAGTTGAGATTGGACATTAGGAACTATTTCTTCACCAAGAGTGTGATCAGACATTGGAACAGGCTGCCCAAGGCAGTGGTGGAATCACCATCCCTTGAAGTGTTCAAAACCCATGTAGATGAGGCCCTCACTGACATGGTTTAGTGGAGGACTTGGCAGTCCTGGGGTAATGGTTGGACTTGATGATCTTAAAGGTCTTTTCCATCCTAGGTGGTTCTGTGGTTCTGTGTGCTGCCCCTCAGCCTGTTCTTAATTCAGATTTGCTGTCTTGGGTCTTCCATGCTTGGGCCCAGTTCACTCCACCATCCTTTCCCTTAACTAAAGGAAGGGGGTGGCTATGATAATTTGAAAAGTAACATCAACATTTTTTCTGTAGAAAGTTTGAAAACATCAACTGGTTCCTGGAAGGCACAGCTAATCTTTTGTGTCTGTGCACATAATCATGTATGAATTGAATAGCTTCCTAGATGTAAATTTAATCTCATTTTTTCGTCTCTCTCTAGGCTCAATGAAGAGAATGTGGATTGATCAAAAATAACGGTGAGTAAAGCCAGAGGTACTAAGTATCACGTACTAAGCTTGTCAACTTTGTTGGTTGATTTAGGGTTTTTTAGGCTTTTGGGTTTTTGTTTTGTTTCTGTCCAAAGAAGTCAGGCATTGAGATTATAATATTTCATAGGATACTTTCAGAGAAGTGGAATGTTGCCACAGGGCCAGCTTTCAGCTTGGCCTTCACTTGAAAGAACCTTGATTTATCATATATTTTAACAGGAATAAATGCTTTAATGTTAGACAATTCCTGTCCCATGATGTCCTTTTGCTCTGCTAAGAGACACCAATTATGTAACTGTGTTAACTTGGAGTAGTTACCTTAAAAGTTGTGTTTGTTAAACAGTAGGACTGAAAGAATGGTAACACAGATGTCAGTTATCAAGTAGAAAGAAGTACATTCAAAATGTCTAAGGATGATCAACAACCTGTGGAGTTTTAATGTATTTTATTTTTCCATTGAGTGAAATAAAGATTTTTTGGTGGTTAAGGTGTGTAGCAGTGCTATATTCTGTTCTCAGCTCTGCCACAAACTTCTGGCATGTTTTGTTGCAGCTCTCCATGTCTGTTTTCCTCCATCTTCATAACAAGAATAAGACTTTCCCAGCAGTGTGGTGGTGAAGCTCATGATCAGCTGAAATATTTGAGTGCCTCAGAGAGAATGTGGTGGTGATGTGTGCTCTAGTTCCATTTCATGATCTACTTGCCGCTTTTAACATAGGAGTTGAAAATTGCCATGGGAAGATTATTTCTGAACTTGATCAACTAAAGGGTTAAGGTAATTAGAATAAGAAATACAGACAGAGAAGAGAGGAAGGGGTTAGAAAATATGCTGTATCCTCATGTTCTTGTATGGGGAAAGAGAAACCAAAGGAAAAAAATTCTCTTTCGCATCTCTCATTGCAGTACAGGAGAATGATAATAAAGATACCTGGCACTGGAGCGCATGCATGTTTCCTTCTAACCCAGGCTGGCATCAAACTTAAAGCAAGAAAACAAAAATCATGTCTTAACAGCTACCGTGACTCAGTGATACCAGGTGGGTGTCACTGTGAAAGGCCAGGAGATCAGGGACAAGATGAGTCAGGGTTACTAGTATCTAGTCTGTGTGATCTTCCAACTGTCATTTAGTGCTTTTTTTTTCTACAGCACTGTCAGTTTTGTGGTTAACTAGGGGATAGTTTATGGTGTTTCTTTGAATTGTGACCTGCCATAGCATAACATATTTTGTGTATGCAGTGTGCATCCAGGTGCTACCCCAACATTGTGATGCTGGGTGTTGGAGGCACAGTTAAGGAGCCCTGTACCTAACTAACAGTGGTATATTTTTGGATGCATTGCTCCTGAGTGAGCGTAGATTTCAGCATTTCTGTAGCATTTCCTTAGCCAGTTTATGGAGATCTACAGTTACATAAAAAATCTTAGAGCAAGGGATTATTGCAGTTTGGGAAGCCAGCTAATTTTGTTCATTAGAATCAGGCTTTTAAAGTAATGAACCAGTAGGCATGTTACTGTTGAATGTATTTTATTCTGATTGCTAAGCTACCCCTCTTTTTTATTTTGGGATTCCAGATCCTCTCCTGACATTCAAGAAGGTGGTCCTGTTGCTTGCTCGTAGGCTGTGAAGTGTTGATGTTTCTCTTCTAGCAAGCAAAAACCTGTCCTTCACTTCCATGGAGCTGAACGAACAAAGATCTCTTCACTTCTTGTTTCAACCATCTCACCCAACATTCGATTCACCAGATGACTTCTCCCACAGAAGTACCCCATCATTTTATCACAACTCAAAAGCAGAGTAACAGAAATCAGCAGTTGTTTCCCTGAAGAAATGTCCTCTGTGCAAGCTCTTCAGCCAGCTCTTGGCATTGTTTTAAAATAAGAAATATTTTGTAATCAGGTTCAAGTGGAAGCTAGTATTCACTGATACCTCCTTCTTCATTTTAGGAAGGTTAAGTACTTCACTGTGTCACACTGGAAGTCCTAGCAGATAAAGTGTCTGCAAGCATTGCTGTGTCAAGCTGTCTTGATATACTTAAAAAAATGCAGTAGGAAAAACGGAACGTATTTTCTGCTCTGACATGAGGAAGAAACTTACCAAGCAATTGGAGATGTCCCATACAGGTATTTTCTAGTCGAGGACCCAGGCTTGACTTTGGAGATAGATGTCTTTGATGTCAACTTGCATAAAGCAGCTAGTGCGGAGGAGCAAATGCAGAATTACCTTGTCTATAGTGTGTAAATGCATCGACCAAGGCTGTGATCAAAACGTATATTTGCCTGTCTAAACCTGATGTAGGTGCTGGATATGAAGAGCTTTCATCAGAATAAGAAATCACTCTGCAGCATTTAATTTTTGGCAAAGAAAAGTGAAGCTTTAAAGGCCTCTGGGGTAACAAAATGATGATTAGGTTTATGTTAAATCATTCTCCCCTCTGTCTTTTCATGACTCCTTAGCTGCAAAAGGAAGAAACCCAGGAACATGTGGTAGAAGAGATGGGGCAGAACTTCTTTCTTTATTAAAGAAATTAACTTCTGGTGGGATAGAAGAGACCAGAGAGGTAAAGTTGCAGTTTATCCACTTGACTTCCTTGGCACAGTTTGAGTTTTCAACACTGCTGATGGAATCAGTTTTTTGATTCTTCTGTGACTGAGAACTGATGTGACCTGTGTGTTACCATCTTTAAGGTAGAAACAGGCCCAAGAGAACAGGCTGTTAGCACGTAAGAGGGGTGATTTGAGAGAGAAAAAATACTTAGGACGGGCCTTTTTTGGTTCCTCTTATTCTTCCCCAAACTAAGACGCAGTCTGTTGTTCTTATGTTTACACAAGGTTCTTTGTCTCCATTGCTTGTGATTATATAGGATGTTTTCTGTCATTCTGAGATGGGAGTGTACGTTGGTTATGTGCTCCCTGCTGTCGTATTATATATGGGAAGTAAGATTTCTTGGCAAAAAACCCCACGACTGGGATATGTATTCTGTTCCACTTCAAATCTGAAGCTCTTCTTAGTGCACCTTATTCCGAGCTTGTGATTTAGCAAATGTGACTTACTAGCTTAAAGTAGTATTTTTAAATCTGGATCAAATAAAGGTATATAAATTCTGTTAATAGGTTTTGGGAGATGGTAGAATCATTGGGGGTGGGGGTGGTGTCTTAGATTTCTTCTTTTCTTCTGTGTTTCCTTTTAGAAAACTGCTGGAGAGAGTCAGACAGCCTGAAAATGGCTGACAAAGACAACAACTGAAATCCTTAAATCTTAATGATTGATTGCAAGGGCAGTATTCTGATACTTAAAATGCAGTCACGTTTTATGGGACCAAGTTCCATTGCAGAGTAAGGGCAAGTGTTGATGTTGATCCTCCTTTTCAGAGTTAAGTCTGTGTTTAGAGTTGCATTCTAACAATACAATTTAATGACAGCTTTCCCATTTGTTGTTTCCATGAAGAAAAGAGCAGACATGAAAGTGGTGGGCAAGACACCGCCTATCAAAGTAATTCCAACTGTAGTGAGCACTAAAATTTTGTGTAACATTGCAATGAGCTGTTTGATCATAGTCATGTTGATCTTGATGAGGCAACCACGAGCTTGCTGACTGCTTTTAAAAACATAGGATTGCTAAATATGGTCTGAATTTTCTGCCATCGGAGGCTACCAGAAAAGCACACTTCCTTTTAAGGCCTCCTTAGGTTGAAACTAATGGGATTTAAAGTAGATGTCTGTAGAAGCAGGATCCATCTCTAAGTGATGGAAAATACTGTCAATATTGTAGGATTGATTGGAAGTGGTTGGTTGGTATCTGGTGTAAGAAACAGCTGATTTTTAGGTTTGGGAATTTCCTTTTCTTCCTTCTGGTGTTAGGGCTAGCAGTTGTTTCTTGCGTAGCTTGATGGCAAAATAATTGGGGGACACGAAGGTATTTTTGTTTCCTGTGAACACGTACAAAAACAAAGCACTTGTCTGACTGGAGAGTAGCCACTTTAAGCTGTTTGATTTATTTTTCCATAGAAATAATCCTCACCATTTTGTAACCCTGCATTGTAACAAAAAATAGCTGACTTTTCCTGACTCTTCTCCATGGCAATGTAACATTAGTTTTCAAGTTTCATTTTAGAACAGAATATTTCTAGCAGGGCTAAGGATCTGTGGCTTTCACAGAAGTAATACCCATGCAAGCCCAGAAGACCCCCACTGCCATACATTTCTGGCCAGCACCTTACATAACTTCTGTGTTGGGAAATGCTGCCTCAGCCTACTTTTTATTGTTCCACATTTTTTTCCTCTGTTGGTTGGAAATCTTCCCATGTGAAACATGACAAAAACAAGGGGCAAGTGCAATAGAACATATATATATACATATATATATTTTAATACTTGTGGACAAAATGATGTTACAAGTTGTTTGAAAACAACAAAATCACCAATGTCTTCCATTTTGAGATGTGTATAGTTCCATAAGCATTAGTGCTTTGTAGCAAACTGTAGTGCCATGTTAGGATCAGTGCATGAGCCTAGTAGTATTTTTACAATTTGAGTGACAAATTATTAATAAACAGTGATAATAATGTAATTAACAATAGAAAGGATACAATAGAAATGTCACAAACGTGGTCTAAACATGCAGTATCCTCCCTTTGACAATGGCAACGCTATCTTTAGAAATGAAATGCCTTTACCTAATGGGCTTCATAGAATCATAGTTGGCTTTGTGCTTTTAGTCTATCTGTTCAACTGCAATAGTAAGCTGCTGTATGTAGGCATCCAGGATTCTCATCTCTTATTGGTGGGATTCTTTTTAGTCTTTGTTTAAGGTGTTTTCTTCCATGTGCAGCTTTTACAATTTTATTATTACCCATCCTGTTATAGACTCAAAAGTATGAATATGTTGATGAGTTTATGTGCATTTTGTGCACATCCCTGCTACTGTGAGATCATCTACAATATCCCTTAAGTGATTTTTTTTCTTCACCTATGACTATATAATCGTTACAATTAGTTAAACATTAACCTCATTATATAATAAGTTGATATTTGCAAAATGCTATCTGCATAATAAAAGTAGAAGGCTTTTATCCATTATTGCAGGAATGGGGAACCTTTCTTGACTGAAGTCCTGTTGAATCTTTTAGTACCTGTGGTGGATCCTGCATTTACACACATCATAATAAAAGAGATTGTAATAAGGTCAAGGGCTGTTGAAAAACAGCACTGCAGACTGTATCTGTGCAGCAGGCTATCTCAAGCATATGGGTCAGAGATTCCCCACCCCTGTATTACTGAGAAATCAATATCCTGTATTTTAGGTAACTTCTAGTGTTGCTTTCCAGCTCTAAGCTCAATTTTAGTAATTTCTGTCTCTCCCTCTGCTTTTTTTTCAGAAGAAAAGTTTAGACCAGGGGAGGTCCAAATGATTTTGCTCTCAATGGGCAGCTTGGACTGGTATGATTCCAGATGTGCGATGCTCTGTGGATGGCATCCTCTGATTTCCTAGGAGAAAGTCTTTTATTTGGTGACAGTATTGCTCTTCACCCATTTCTATCTTTTACAAGAACAAAATTCTCCTTCAACTTAGAGAGGATACTGCATTTTTTTTCCTGAGATCTGCCTGTAAATGGCCATTGGGGGAGGGAGGGAATGGGTAGCTTGGTTTTGATAAGATGTATCTCTAAAGTGATTAATCAAGAAGCATGTTCTTTGGTGCAAAAACAGTAACTGGGCAGAGTTAATGTATGTAACAGGGAAAGCAAACAAATAGAAACCCCTAAACAACCCACCCTCTGCATCTAATTGATTTCCAAGAAAATTGGTCAGGGGGGCCATTTACAGCAGCGCTCTGGGAACCTTTGCTGAAGAGTTAGGTTCAGTTTTCTGTGGAAGTAGCTGTACCATTAAATATAGTAGTTTAGTGCTTGGGAGAATCAATTGAAAAATACCTCTGAAACTGGAATGCAAAATAGCACAGTATGTAGGGGGAAGAATCCCTAATGCAAACAAAGCCATAAGATGATTTAATAAGAAAATAGAATTTTAGTAGCAATAACTGTTTTGCATGTGATAGTAAATAACTTGCATTAGCAAGACTGTACAGTAGAATAAGTGGGTAATAACCAAATAAGTTTGTGGCGCTCTGTGCTGCATGGAGTTGCGTGAAGAGTCTCTTCCTGAGAACATGGGTGAATTCCTCTTCTGTTCCTCTCATTGGAGGGAATTTAGCACTTGAATACATTGTTAATGAACCTGATATATATATATAAACAAAAAAGCTCTGTGACAGATCTGAAGCACTGCAGTGAGTGCTGGGGAAGAGCAGACAGTTCTTTTTGAGGGGATAGCTGAAGTTTTCTTCTAGTTTTCTCTCTTTTGTAGCTTAGCACTTCTGTTTCTCTGAGAAGAAACTAAACCCTTCCAAATACTAGAGTGTGATGGGAACCTGATTCTCAAGTTAAAAGCTTTTATTGTGGGACGTACTTTTTGTTTTCTTTGCTTAAAAAGACCAATCTGAGATGGTTTTAAATAAGAAATTAGAGAACACTTGACACTCAAACCATTTGTTACAGCCCCAGCACAACTGTAGAGGTCTAAAAATGTTGCTTTACAGGAAAATAATTTTAGCCTTGCTAAACACTGTTTGAAACTGTAATTGATTTCTGTTGATGCCTGAAGTTTTGCAGAGGCAAGTACTGTGGAGCCTCTGGTAAAGCATTATTATCTACAGCTGTAGCCTCTGCACCCAGCAAAGTATTTCCTATCAAAGGGTTACATAAAAGAGCCACAGGAGTTCTAAAATGTTCATAGTTGATGCTGCTTTCAGTGCAGAGAGGTGCAGAGACAACATGGCCTAACAGATAGTAACTCTGTTCAGAACACATTATTACATCAGAGGTTTGAATCTGTCTGGCTGGATTTCTTCTAGGAAGCTGAGGCAATTTGAAGTCTAACTTCCAGCTGAAAGGAAGCTTCTAGTGTTCTGAAATTATGGAGGTGAAGCCCTTTGGCTCTTCAGAAGTTGAGAATGGCACTGTGAGGGCTGTGAGCATTTTTGCAGTATAAAGTAACCAAAATAAGCATGAGAATGTCGAAGTGTTGGATAATCTGGAATATCTGTATGAAAAGCTAATTGATGTGGGAGGTTGTAATCCACTCAAATTCTAGCTAATGAATTATTGATCAAATTGGCAGCTGCCCATAGGGGACTTTAATTTGATTGTTATCTGCTTACATTAGAGAAATTATAAATTTATTCTGGACTGTGGTCAGCAAATACATTTCCATAATAATGAAAACATGGTCATGCTCCTGCTTCAGAAGTATGAACTTTGTGGCTGAATAGAATTCTAGGGTTTCTTCATTCAGAGAAGCATAAGGAGAGTGAGGTAAGAAATCAAGACTGCTGTAGCCAGGCAAGCTATTTGCATATTCTTCCCAGATCAGCCTTATTATAGTGGTATGTAGTCTGTTGTCTACTAGACTAGAAATCGCTGTTCACAGCAGCAAAAAGAATCCCTTTGCCTTTTGGCTCTTGTACTATGGCATGACTTTTGCTCCAACCCCTTTTATTACACTGCTTCTAAAACTAAATGAAAGTGTTAGATGCAACCACGTTGCAGTGTGGGGTATCAAAGGTGTAATGACCAGCACTGATACGCCTCTTCACAGAGCTAAACCCAGCTGATTACAAGTACGTGCTGTTTCCACATCCATTAGTGCTGCCACAGAAGGTCTAGCCAGAACTTGTGTTGGGAATTGCACCTTCAGGAATTGCACCTTCTGCAAGTGAGGATGATTGTCAAATTCAGGACAAAAAAAGTCTTGCAAAGGCTCCTTGATAGTGAGTGAGAAGAAATTTTACGGAGCTTCAGGACACTGACATGTTACACAAGGGTTACGCTGTCAAGAGCTCACACTGGTTTTTGGGCAGGAAAAGGAAAAATATGGAAGAACAGTTTCTGATGGATAATCAGGCTTGAAAATAACTGCTTCCTGCATCCCTAGGAAACTGTCTGGTCTTCCTCCAAAACCAAGGTTCCTGCTTGCTATTCAGGTACAGAGCTGCATAATGGCAATTCAGGTTAGATTCCATTTAATTTCTTTTACTGAATGATCTAGCATTGTGCCCCTGTAGTGCTTTGACTGGCAGACACACAAAGGCCAACAGTTGAACCAGGGTGTCTCATTTAACAGTGCAGAACACCAACAATGGATTCTTATGTCTCTTCCCTTTCAGTCTGCTCTATACTTTCTCCTGAGTTTTGGAGAAGGTGTCAATGTTCATGATGTGGGCAGGGTGTGTTTCTGTGTCTGAGCCTATGTACCAGGTTGTAATATAGACAGGTTCCCTACAGCTTTACAACATCTAAAGTTAAAGATAAAAAGTAATTTATTGTTTATTGTGTCCTATGTAAATCCTGTGTGCTTCTCTCCACTTCCCCTCCAAGTGAGTGTGCTTGCAGGTCAAATTAAAGGTGTCTAGTTCGTAATGCCTTGGGCATGAAGAACTGCATGGAGAAACTGAAGGCAAGTGGCACAGGCCCACAAACCAAATCTTAGAGCTAGTATTCTAATTATGCATGATTCAAAATGTCTAGTGTAACGTAGTTATTACCAGTAAATTGAGATATGCATTTATACATAATGAAGCAATAGGAATTAATATACCAATAGCTTGAACTTCTTGCTTTGGTTCTCAGACTTTGGGTTTTTTGGTTTTTAGAGAATGTGCTGCCCTTGTAGAGAAAGGGGCAGAATGTATAGGTAGGGACAGAAGCATGGCACCAAAACTGTAAATCAGGAACTAGGATCAGCAGAACTCGCCTTTATAACCTCTAGTCTGGTTCAAAGTAGTGTCCTGAGCATGTAAAAAGCAGGGCATGGACTAAGCATGTTTAGGGGCGAGATGAGGTTTCTCACCTGCTGCAGCTGTAGCAAGGAAAAGGGTGCAGAGTTTCTTACAATGTGCAGGGGGGAACAACTGGTGGGGGAAAAAACAAACAACAAGCAAACAAGTAATGGAAATCACAGATTCGACTTGAGTGTAGTACTTACCAGAGAGTAGATGATAAACTTGCTTGTGGTGAGAGAAATTATTTGAAGACTGAAATTAATAAGCACAGTATGTACATTTCAGGTGTTGAATAGCTTTTTAGTAGACAGTATTTTCAGGTAACTCTCTAGCCACATAGGCAGCTGTACTGAAGCGTACTGGTACCAGCCAGCAATAATGGCACCTGCAGGAATGAACCCGAAAATACTGGTAATCTTCTTGTATAGTTTTTAAGTTCTTTAAAGAGATTTTTAAAAGCAGTAACTGCGATTTGAGCACTGAAGGTCTTTCTCTTCTGCAACACAGGTTGCAATAGTGTTGTTTTTCCTTTATTTCACTTACTAAATAAAAGGGAATTTGGGTGCCATCTTTCTGTAGGCTTTTAGTGTGTTCTCTGAAATACTTCTCAGGTCCTTCAGTGGACAGTGAAGTGAATTTCTGCTGGCAGTTTGAAAATAACCTAGAAGTGTGGCATAGCCTATGTCACTAATACTTTTCCAAGTTTAACCTTGTGTTCAGACATGTAGAATACTAGCTTTTAGTGCCGATTTCCATACTTCTAGCTTAGCTTAGTTTTGTAGGTGGGCTTAACTTGTGCAGAATACTTCTCCATGTACAGGGGCACAATCCTCTGAAATAGAAAGTGTCTTGGAGGAAGAAATTGTGTGTCAAGTTAACTCCTGTTCATGCTTCATAGCCAACCATCCACAAAGCACCGTGATTTGGGTTAGAATGGGGGTTGTGTTTTTCTCATGAATGCTCTTTTTAGACTTAGAAGAATTGCCAAATGAAGCTAGGAGTGTTCTAAGAGAAGATGACTTTTATGGTGTCGGAAGTTAGACTAAATGAAATCCTTTGAGCCAACTTCTTCAAGCAAAAAGGGAATTTGTAGAACAAGTTTAGCTCAGTGGTTAACCATGGTCACCTAGTTCTTAGTGGGTATTTTTTAGAACACTTTGCATGCTTTTAAACTTTCATGTTTTCTTTGGTGTGGTGAGTAAGCAGTTGTATCCTTTGTTAATGCTTATTCCCCTCAATATAAAACCTGGGAATAAGCTACTTTAGGATGTCAGTGAAGATGATCTCCTTTTCAAAAGCATGGTACAACAGCAAAGGAGAAGTATTAGTGTTAGATTCTTAAAGATTACTTTAGTACTTAAAGAACAAACTAGAAAATACTTCTTATGTTGAACTTCTGATGCTGTGCTCACATGGGTCAGTAATTATTGGTGTCACTAGGAACTATGTATTCCCGTTGCACATGTTTTACATGGTAACAGTGAAAGAATGTCTCCCTGCAAAATCTGATGTTTTTCCAAAAGGCAGCTTGCTTTTATATCTATGCATCTTTGAGGATTTCAAGATAAGATTTTATTCTTTTGACACTGTAAAGAGGAACTGTTTAAAAATGAACTTGGAAACTCTGCACCTGTATACAAATTTTTTAGCAATAAAGCAGCACAGGCTGAGAATGCACTAAAAACTGGATGTGTCATTTGTTCAGAAGATAAATTAACCAACTTGCTACACACTCCACTTCTGAGATGTGTTTGTACTTGCTGTACCTTTGTGCAAACCCAACAATTTGGGCTGAACCTGCACAAGCTGTGTATCTGCTGTGGGTCCAGCTCTCCCAGCAGACCTCAGGCACAGGAGCCTCATGACTTCTTGGAAGGCAGATAAAGAAAAGTTACTCCACTCATACTAAGATGGGCAATGTATCAGTTAAAGCTTTAAGGGCTCTTTTAGATGATTGCAGAAAGCTTCTTGCTTGCACAGACTGGCTAAATTAATAAGCCCTCTAGAAAACTTTCATCTGTGTGGATTATTTGTTGTTTTGGCAGCTCCATGTCTGAATAGTTCCTCCTATGGCTGGCATCTCACACCTGCAGTGAGGCACAACTTCCTTGCAGTTGGTGTCAAAATGCTGTAATACAGCAAAACAGTGGCTCAGGAGGCTGTGCTGAAAAAGCCATTGGCTGCTAATCCTGCTACAACCTTTCCAAGACCTGTTACAGATTGTTAACCCTTAAGCTAGTTTGTAGAAGATTTTCAGTATGATTGTTACTTCAGTAGCATGTTTAACCACCTTTGTTTTATTTTCTAGTTGGTTTTGTCTTCAGATTGCAGAGAAGACAGCTCTTGGTGAGGCCGGACTTGTTTTCTAAGTGGTTGTATTCACTTAGACAATTCATCCCTTACAAAGCCAGACTGGCCCTGGCTGCATTTAAAGCTGGAATGCATTTCTAAAGATGCCTGGTTAGTGGAGATTAGGTCCTACACTAGAATAGGAGCAACAAATATTCACTGATAAACCATAGATTAAAAGGAACTTGAATCTGGGACAGGCTGCAGGATTAAACACTGAATCTTTCAGGAATAAGTTTATGAGCATCACTTTGAATTACTGAAGAGAATAAATTTAAGTGAATGTTACTGCTTTATCAACTTAAACCTATGTATTTTGATTTGCGGCTTACTTAAAACAGAATGTTGTTGGAACACTGCTTCTGTGAATATCAGCAGGTACACCAGGCAACAGTGCCAACAAAACTCACATCATTTGACAAATAAGACATGAAGGAGCATGGCTTGACTCAGCAGTAACAAAGATTAATATAGTTTAAAAATTTCCCAGCTATTATTTAGTACATGCTCATTATTTGTTTAAATTCATGCTATGTAATCTAATATGAGGAACCATTAATTTAATGCTTCATAATGAACCCGGACCCAGCAAGATAAACTGATGGATTTTTCTGCAAACATAATCTAAGGAAAAGAAGTGGGTTTGTGACTCACAATGCATCAGTGATCTGCACAAAATGCATCTCTGAATTTCAGCTTTTATTTACAAATTCTTTTCTTTACAGCTGTAAAGATAATACTAAAACCCCAAAGTAACTGACAGCTTTCTTTTCCTTTTAGGGGTGGACACTTAGCTAAATGAAGCAAGACAGTTTAGCACTATTATACACAGTACAGATGTAAAGTATACAGCAAGGAACTGTCTCAATGCAGAAAGCAGACTGAAAGAAAGGGCAAAAGGGAGTAGGCCCATTGTCAATGGATGGAATAAGAAAAGGGCTGTCACTTCGAAAGTAACGCAAAGGTGGATTTCTGCAATGGAAAACATCTACCTGAGATGCTTGCATAAAATGAGCTTAAGTCACAAGACCTCAGTTAAAGACCAACAGGCCCTTAACCATAACACAACGCAGAAGACACAAAACAACACAACTGTAAAGATGTCTTTGTTCTTATTAATGAAATAATCAAATACAACAATCCAAACTGTACAAACATACAGAGACAACTCTTATGAACAACATTCAAGTAAAGGGTTCAGGATAGAGCTCATTTTAGAGAAGTTACCATTTGTCATTACAGGCAATGAAGCAGATGTCACAAGTGTAATATTTCCTTCAGGTAGGTACTTTTGATATCCTGAACTTAGCTGTCATTGAAAAGCGCTGTGTTTCTGCACTTATGCAGATCAAATTTGTAAAACTAACAATAAAATCATTTATATAGCATACAGTAGTAGAATTTAACAGAGAGCACCCCTCTTCTCTCTGCAGAATGGCTGATGGTATTCCAAGTTATTGCTTCATCAGAAGGAACTGAGACAGTCTGAACTCTCAATGAAAAAGCAGTAGCAGTGTAGGTACTGGCTGGCCACCTGAAGCCTCTGAGGTGCTTTCCAGTAAGTTTCGTCCTCTCTGCTCCAAGGCCACTACAAGAGTTACTTCGCAAATACAACAATTAAGACCATGAAATACAGGGAGTACTGGCAGTAGCAGCAGTGGGGAGTGCAATCTGCCAGTCATACATGGAAGCAGAAGTAAGAGGATGGAAAACTGCATCACTAGAATTAATGAAGTAAATACAGCCCTCTCTAGACTACTGCATACAACTACTAAACTTTATGGAAGGTTTAAAGCATCAGTCTTTTAGGCAACAAAAGGGAGAGAAACTAACCTTTAATCTTCCAGATACCAAGAACTGGGGTTAAAGATATTGTCATAAAACCAATGGGTGTTCCTTCTTTTCCATCAAATTACTTTCTAGATGTTTGGAAAGAAGCAGCACCCATTAAAAACAGAGAAATACTGGTGGCTGGCACATGGCTTGCCATTGAATTTGAAATCCAAAAATTTGTGCTCCAGCCAGCATTGTGCCACTTAGTGCAGATTCATGCACTAAGCACGCTGCAGCTTCTAGGCCGTCCTAGCTTGCTTCTTTTGCAGGCCACACAGAAGCAAGTCTAAAAGAACTGATCAGGAGATCCTTTAGTAGTGCCTCAGATACCAGCTGCCTGCCATTAACACGGTATCTGTATGAAAGGGTAGGACAAGAACTTTAGATCTCCATAAGAATGTTTGGTTTATAATAGCTCCTCTTGAGTATCATCTTCTTAGTATGTTTTGTATGTTGCAGAAACCTAATTTTTGTATTTCAAAGCCTGGTTTTCCCCCTGAAGTCATGACAGAGAATCACTTAGACTGTCTTGGAGAGTGATGTGCTGCACGGGTGAGCTATTAATTTTTCCAAGCATATCTTCAGGATGTCAGATTTTCAGGTGTTCCTCTTAGACTGAAGGGAGGCACTTAAGCACCAGTTCTTTCTGTGCAGAGGTAACATGACAGATCAACCCTCAAAGCTGTTCTGGTGCATTAGTTCAGCAGAGATGCAGAAACAACTCCAGAAGTTCTTGAAATGGTGTATTATTAGCTGACCCTGACTATTGCATATCCTGGCAGCAGTCCAGCTGCATCTGATGCAGAGCTCTGCCTTTCTGCCCATTGTTTTTTTCCTCCAGTTCCTTAAGCATCTTCGTCAGTGTTTCTACACGTGTGTGGCTCTCCACAAGCTTTTCCTTCAGCTAGCAAAAAAGAGAACGAAGAGCATTAAGACTACAGAGAAATATCCTATCACTGGATCTCTGAATGAACTGCACCCCACCTGCAGTGGTTGAAGAGCAGTTGACTTTCAAGACAGAAAATTATACTGGGCTTTAATCTCTATATTGCATGTCTAGTACAGCCAAAACTGGCACCCAAATCAGGCCTGTGCTACAGGGAGACAGATGAATGTGTGGCAGCACAGCCCTTTCAGGGATGTATGGAAATACTCAAGGAGACAGGTTGCTGGAACCTTTTTACAATCAATCCAATATTCCCTAACTCTTGTTTTTACACAGCCAGAGACCTTCTTTGACAACATGAGGACAGACTGTTTCATGATTAGCTTAGGAAAACAGGTGGACAGTCCTTCAAAAATGCCATTTCCAGAGCCCAGGGTTTAAGTTAACACATCAAAAGCACAAGAGGAAAATCCTGCTGACATTGTGTCTCAAAAAGCAAAGACCAGATTCTTGCTCTTGTTCTACTCAACAAGCAAACTCCCCACAGTTACATGATTTGTCTTTGCAATCAAGTACTACTATTGTTTTACTTCAGAATAATGTGTCTCAACTTTAAAAGTCTTGCCTGGATAGGATTTTTGCATTTTAGCCTCACCTGACCTATAAAAACACTGATCTTACAGTCAGACACTGGAAGATAACTTTAAAGAAGGCAAAACTTAAGAAGTGCCACGGGCCCATTTCCATGCTTAGAAGCTAAAAGGAAACAAGTTAATGTGAATACTAAATACATGTGAATACTGGATACACTGTCTGTCTCCTACATACAGTAACTCTGAGCTATGGGACAGAAAATTTACTAAGACAACAACTAACCAAGTTACAGAAAAGCACATCCAATTTAAACACTTCTTTTCAAGGTACAGAGATAAAAGGATAACACACTTTGGAAGAAAATAGCTAGAACTGGATATGTTTTGCAGATAAGTGGTTCTAGAAAATGTTTTGCATGTCTTACACATTTAAGTCAGTCACTGTGTTGTAAGTCAGTGTTTCCTCCATCTTGTGCACTTAAAAAGTAATTGTATCAATATTTTTGGACTTATATAAAAAAATAATCTTTTTTAATATTTTCCATACAAATTAATGTAGAAACTTTACTTTCTGCAGTCGTTCCCATAAGGTCTCAGGAGGAAAAATTATCTTTGAAGCTTCTACTACGATTTGGGATTTCAAGAGGTAACTGGAAAACAAAAGGAGAAACCACACCAAGAAAAGCAGTTAAAACACCCATAGTTGAATTAAAATCATAGAATGGGTTGGCTTGGAATGGACCTTAAGATCAACCAGTTCCAACCCCCCTGCCATGGGCAGGGACACCTCACACCAGACCATGTCACCCAAGGCTCTGTCCAACCTGGCCTTGAACACTGCCAGGGATGGAACATTCACAACTTCCTTGGGCAACCTGTTCCAGTGCCTCACCACCCTCACAGAAAAGAGCTTCCTCCTTATATGTCATGGTTTAAGCCCAGCTGGTAATTCAGAACCACGCAGCCACTCGCTCACTCCCTCTGTTTCCTTCTCCCCCCTCTCTCGGAGGGATAGGGAGGAGAATCGAAATAATGTAACTCCCATGAGTTGAGATAAGATCAGTCCTGTAACTAAGGTATAACACAAATCACTACTGCTACCACCAATAATAATAGTGATAAGGGAAATAACAAGAGAAGAGAATACAACCGCTAACCCTAACCCAGCCCAACCCAATCTGGGCCTTCTGGGTGACTGCCCCCAGTTCTACATCCTGGGCATGACATGCTGTGGTATGGAATACCTCTTGGGCAAGTTTGGGTCAGGTGTCCTGTCTGCTTCCTCTAGGCTTCCTCTCCCTCCCTGGCAGAGAGTGAGGCTCAGAAAGTCCTTGGTCAGAGTAAATATTACTGAGCAGTAACTAAAAACATTGTGTTCCTGCTGCACCAGCTACAAGAAGGGGAAAAATGACCAATATATCTAACTGTCAGTATCTAGTAAGTTTTAACCCACTACCCCTTGTCCTATCAAACACGAGAGCAGAGTAGAGGGGCAGGATCACCTCCTTCAACCTGCTGGTCACTCTCCTTTTTATGTTGAGGACACCAGCACACAGGCTCCAGAGCAGAGTAGAGGGGCAGGATCACCTCCTTTGACACTGCTGGTCACGCTTGGCTTTCTTTCTGGGCTGCGAGCACACATTGAAGCCAGCCCATGTTCATTTTCTCATCGACCAACACCCCCAAGTCCTTCTCCACAGGGCTGCTCTGAATCTCTTCTCTGCCCAACCTGTAGCTGTGCCTGGGATTGCTCCGACCCAGGCGTAGGACCTTGCACTTGGCTTGGTTGAACTTCATTGTTTAGATGGATTATTTAAGATTATTTTAAAGTAGATACAAAGTTGTTGCCAAAAGAAGTCAAGGCACTATGAAAACATTAAAAACGTAACAATGGTTTTACTTGGAAATCATAAAATGCTCTCATCACCAACTATAAGTAATTTACATTTACTATAGTCAAATCCTCAGGCTATCGTGGAACTACTTTGACACCTTACATTAGCTGAGTGAATCTGGAAGTGAAGGAGATTTCAGTGTTGCAAACACCTAAATTTAAACCTCAATGTTACATGAGGCCACAGAAGTCAAATGGAGTCAGGCCAACACCGACAATTAAAAATAGAGGATATTAAAACCCCACTTCAATGCACTTGGTCAAAAGGAGCTGTAGATTAGTTGTACAGCCTGTTGTGATGACTTACAAACTGCCATGAAATCACTGACCAGAAGAACAGAGCATGCTCACCAGAGGATGCTGTCCTTGAAGAAACAGAAGAAGCCTCTCAGATACGCCAGCTCCCTGGAGGCAGAATAAAGAATGAAGCCCACGATCAAGCCACACGACTGACAGGTCAGTGTGTTGTAAGCACTAAAAGGAGCAAGGGGAAAATAGTATTAAACAGAAGCTTCTGAAACCATAGATAGAGCATGTTTGTGAGAGGAGAGCAAATCTGCAGTTCCATTAGGACAACAAATCGAGGCATAACGCTTTCTCCTTAAGGAGACACTACATACAAAGAGAACATGAACGTAAAACCTTTGGGCATGTTGTGCAAGACATAATCTCTGTAATAAATGAAGTTGCAATTAAGGAAGAAAACAGGTGTCTTATTATCACAGAGTGGTTTAGGCTATAGTACTCAAACAAGATTTAACTGGTAAAACAACGCCTTGGCCAGATCATAGATGTGGCATTTCCTCCTGATAAAACAGATTATTGCCTCATGCAGAGAGAGGCAGGAAAAAAAGGAAAAATTAAAAAGTCTTATATTTTAAAAGTTCCTGGGCCCTATAATTAGTAAAAGATCCTTAAATGCCATGTAAAAAAACTACAGGTTCTGTAAGTCCTCAGATGTCATTTATAACCTTTGCATCAGACTCATCCCAGTTACCAAGCCTGCTGCTAACTGCAGGCTTGTGAACAGAGCAGAAGTTAATAATTTTCAGTGTGTGTATATATATATATACATACACTATGCTTTTTTATACATATATATAACAGTGTACATATATATATATACACACACACATATATAAAACAACGAACAACCAAACCCCGAAGAGAGATGCTTTAATTTAGGTAACAGACCTTTTAGGGGAGAAGAGCCCTACAGGCCAGGCTGCCTACTCAAACGCTCCTCTCCACCAAGGACCGCAGCGAAACTTCTGATTTTGACCGCACGAAAGCTGCACCTTCAGAAGCTCCCTCGCCGCGCTACGGCTGAAGCACGGCTACGAGCGGCGCTCCGCATCTTACCCACCCCGCAGCACACCCCAGCCCGCTCAATGCCCCGCGGCGGCAGCGCCCGGCAGGCCGGTGACCCGGGGGAAGCAGTAGGCGAGCTACGCACCACCCGAGCAGGGGTCCCTCCAGGCCGATCGTGAGCGAGTCCTCCCAGATCACGTCCTTTGTGACTCCTGAGGAGAAAGACGGACCCTTAAAACCCGGACCCGCCGCACCAACCGCCCGCCGGCACCCCCCGCCCGCGGCGGGCACTGACTGTAGCAGACGAGGAGGCCGAGCAGCCCCTCCTCATGCGTGCACAGCTGCAGCGAGTCGCTCAGCACCGCCCAGCAGCCGCGGCACTGGAACACGGCGCAGGGCTCCAGCAGCAGCTCCTGCCGCCGCGGTAGCGACGCCAGCCCCGCGGGCTGCGGCGAGGAAGGCGGCGACACCTGGACCGGAGCGGCTGCTACGGGCGACGGCTGCCGCTCCACCACGATGGCACCGCTGAGCTGCGAGTCGCGCACCACCTCCTGCAGCTGCCGCCGCACCGCCATCTTCTCCCGCCTAGCGTTCGAGCACCTCGCCCGCCTTCCCGATTGGAGCGCGCTTCACGGATCCGCGCTGCCATTGGCCAATGCTCGCGTCAATCCTCATCGCCTGAGACTATTGGGAAGCGGGCCGCACCGGGGCATGCCGTCGCCCAATCACGCAGGGGAGGGCGGGGCTTCCTTTCGCCTTGGAGAGCCTATCGCGTTTGAACACTCAAAGCGCTCCCCGATAGCCAAGCCGCTATTGGCGGCTTCCCTGCCCTTAGTCTCAACCCCTTTGCCTCACCCAGCCAATGGCGTGGCGCGGAGGGCAAGTTCGAACGGCGGCGGGGGCGGGCGCGGGCTGAGGCGCGAGGTTTGAAGCGCGGCCGTTGAGGCGGTGGCCGCCCGCTGCCCTGCCCCGCCATGGCGCCGTCTCCGCTGCGGCAGCAGCTCGAAGAGATGAAGTACGTGGAGCTCCAGCGGATCGCAAAGGCCGCCGGGCTCAAGGCCAACCTGCGGGTGAGGGCGGGAGCAGCACCTCCTGATGAGGGGTGGGCGGGCAGGGGGAGCGCTCCCTCTAAAGGCCGACCCCGGCGGTGGGGCTCCCGCAGTGCCCGGCCGGGAGCGGCTGTCGTTCAGGGAACACGCCCGTGCCCGTGGACGCTCTGCTTGTTTTGGGTAACGGCACCGGTGGGGTCGCTGCCCGGGCCCGCGGGAGCGGTGGCAGCTCTGTGTTGAAGCGTCCCTTCGTCCGGGAAGAAGGTCCCGGCCGTTGGCTCCTTCCGCGGGGTAGGGCGATGTGCTCGGGTGCCTTCCGGACGGGCACAGGTCCATTGGAACAGCTGCTTGTGTGGGCTCCGTTTAACTGGAGGGGTTAAGGAGGGGACGTGCGGCTCTGCCCATGGGCTGGGGCACTGCGGGGCTCACCGGCGGCAGGAGGCTGTGTTTTGGGTTCGTTTTGTTTAAGACTCGGAAGAACAGCAACACCAGGGTGCCGTGAGGGGCGAGGGTGCGTGTGTTTGTTTACCGGCCGTGGTTAAGAACGAGGGATTTAAGCGCTCACCGGTGTTTCTTCTCTAGAGCCACAGGGTGATGCCCGTGTACTGCCAGGACAAAAGCTTCACCCAGGGCTTTTAGCTCTGGGGGTTGGAACTGGATGATCTTAAGGTTCTTTCCAACCCTAACTATTCTATGATTTTGTTCTTGAGCCTCTAGTTCTGGTTTGATTTTATGCTGACCTTTCCCAAGAGTCTTTCATAGTCTAAAATGTCAGCAGCACAGTTTTGTTGTATTTTACTGCTGTTACTGTTGAATAGGTGCAAGGGGTGAGAAGAATGCTATGCATGTACTGTGAGGGAGAAAGCAGTTTGTGCAGATACTTGATACATGCTCAGTTATGCAGTGCTCCTAAAACCAGTCTCATTCATCCCTGAATAATTAAACTTCCTGGAAAACAGGCAACCAGGAAGAAAGCTGGGCAGGGAAAACTCTCTCTTTGGAGAGTCTCTGTGGAGAAGATGCTACTTTTTTTATCTGAGTTCTTAAGCACTTTCATTGAGAATCATGGAATGATTTTGGTTGGAAGGGACCTTAAAGATCACCTACTTCAACCCCCTGCCACAGGCAGGGACACAATTTGACTGACTAGGATGAAGTTTAGTCTTCCGTTGGATCCAGGAACCGTTCTGCTTGTTTGCTGGATCAGTTGATAGGACACTGGCTGGGTTTATGCAATGTTTTGTTTGATGATTCAATGTGGTATTTAGTTCATATGTTGTCTTGGTTTCTCTCCAGGCAGACAAACTGTTGAAAGCACTGAAGCAACACTTTGATGGAACAAAACAAGAAAGTGCAAATATGGTAAGGAATGATAAATAGGCCATTCTTATTAAGAGATAGATCTAACTGTGACTAGTAGAACAGGGCATGTACTGAAAGTTAATTTTTACCATGATAAGAACTGTAATAAAAAATCTTCATGGTGCCTTTAGTTTAATACACCCTGGTACTGATTGGAACAGATGTGCTGATGTTAGCTTTAAGTGGCCTCCTATCTACCCAAAGCTGGTTTTCTTTCAGCTGCCAAAATGAGCAATGTATTTTTCAGCATCAGTACAAAGTTATTCTCTGTGAAAACCAACATTTACGTTTCCATTGAGCAGATATTACCTTTGTGACTGCAGGTGGTAGTCTGTACCAAACATAAACATATCTTATTTGTTTTACATGCCTAGATTAAAGAGATTAGATATTCATTGGAAAGCATTTTGCATTTACTACAGTTTACTTACACTGACACTATAATGAGAGTGATACAATTGTGATGTTTCCTTTATTTGTCTCTTCATGTATTGGTTTTTCTTTTAAGTTTTCTGTAAACTGAATTATTTCATTGGCTATGGTGATGGCTTTTAAGTTTTTGATAGCAAGTAAATTGGTATTTGCTTTTTCTAAAATACATCTGAAAGTGCTTCCTTTAAAAGTCTTTTTTAAAGGTTTGAGGAGCTGGCAGAATCATTGTGAGCTTATTTTTAACTATAACAAGTATGGAAGTGCCTCTGGTGTTCCTTTTGGTGAAGAGCATTCCACAGAAACATGAATCTGGGAGGGTCACAGCATCCTGCAGTCAGATTCTAAATATAAAGTGTTAGTCTTCTAGATTCTTATTAAAATATTCTGTAATAAAGTGACTCTAAGCCTTCTTTTTAAAGCCTTCAAATAATAGGCTTTGATATTTAGGGAAGTCTAGATAGTGCCAATTTCTTCATCACTACACTGTTAGATGCATGCTACTGCTTTTCCTCTATGTGAAATACTTCTTCCAACAATAAAATGGAAACTGTCTCTTTCATCTGTTCATGTCAGATGTTCCACATTACAGTATTTTTCTGACACAGGACTCTGAAAAAAGTGTACCTAGTCTCATCAAATCAGATGAACCGAACAATGAGGAGGAAATGATGCCTGATTCAGTGGCTTTTACTACAAGAAGATGTGGTAAAGAAAAGAAAGTAAACAGAAAAAAGAGGAACTCCGCTGATGATACTAATACCAGTGAGGAAAATGCAGAGCTTTCTCATGAGAAAGAGGTGATTCACATTGTTTGGCTTTGTGTGCTGACTGTCCCCTTCCCCCAACATGATGTAAACTCACTTGATTTTTTTCCTACCACCATTTAGCAGGTGGTGTAAATGTTATATATCTGTGTCTGTGTGTGTATATATATATAAGACTTTTGTATGCAAGTATTCTGGTACTGGTTTTCTGTACTTTGTAGGACTGATTTTTGTCTATTTTGACTGTGCTATTCTATAATGTTACAGAAATTACTCGCTAGTCACAGAAGTAAATTAAATTCCTCTAAGAAAGAAATGATATTTCAGACCCTTCACTATTCATTATAGTGTTCTGAACATTCGACTAGTTTCAGAATTTACCTAAAAATAAAGATGTTCTCCCTTTATATAGAAAAAAAATTATCAGGAATTGGATGATTGCCTAAACCTCATAATCTTTAACTCCCACTCCTCTCAGTGGGTTCTTTATTCATGGCTTGTATGGCTGAGGGAGGGGAAGATTCAGTGTGAGATGGGGTGGAATTGCTTTTCTTTAGCATTACATGCAATTAGTGGGTGAACTAAGAACCATGTGAAAGAACTTTTCCTGATTTAGAATGAGAGAAGGGAAATAAGAAATGGGGAGTGTTTATCTGTCAGTGTTAGAGACTTGTACAGTAACCAGAGCCACAATAGTAAAAAAGTAACATAGCCAGGGAATTAGTTTTTACTTGCAAACAACTGAGTTTGTCAATAAGGTAATTTTATACAAACATGTTAGAGCTGTGCAGGTAAAAGCTTTCTAATATAGTTCTGTTAAATAACAGGGTAAGTATTTCACAGGTTAATTCAGGTTGGACTTCAGAAAGTCTCTTGCTCAGTCTCCCAGTCAAAGCAGGGTCAACTATGAAGTTAGACCACAATGCTTAAGGCTTTATCTAATCTGATATAGAAAACCTCTAAGGATGGAGTCTGTTCCACTGACTGCTCTCAGAACAACAGCTCTTCTTTATATCCAGCTGGAACAAAGTATTTAAATGAAGTATATTTAAACTGCAGGTGCATTTGGAAATGAAAGAAAATGAGGTGCCTTGGGGTCAGCAAGGAAAGGGACAGAAGGTATTCCAAACTGAGGAACAAGTAACTAAAAAAAGAGCTACTGAGAGCCCAGGGATGGGTACTGCTCGGAAAGAGCAGCCAAAGAGGACTTCTACTAAAATTGCTGGAGGTGAATGTAAGTAGGAAATTCCAAAAAGGAAGTTTAATGACTTGTACTACTTTAAATGTACCCTTGGTTATTTTGTTGTGTCTGCAAAGATTGCTGTGGCCTGTCTGGTGATCAGCACTTTATCTGAGGAGACCAGGAAAAAGATAACGATTTTTGTCTGATCTTTCTATCTCAGGTGATGCTCTTAAGGCAGGAGGGAGGATCCCTGTATATGCAGGCCGTGCATCTAGGTCTGGGAAAAAAGGAATGAAAGCTACTACACCAAGTAAGCTAGCCTACCATCTTTAGAAATAGATGCGTTGTCTGTGTGTGAAGGGTTTTTTACAACCCAAATTCTATTTCTATCTGAAGAAGAAACCATTTTCTCTTTAAAAAGCAAGCAAAGAAAAAAGTTCTCAACAGTTACACTTTAAGGTTTATCTGTCAACTTGTAAGTTCATAGTAGTAAATGACTCACATGTATGTTATAAAACTGGTTATCAACAAGTGTCTTTTGGATCTAATTCATGATTATCAAAACCACAAAGAGCAGGAAGACGTGCTGTTACACCTGCTTGTTTAATTTTACTTTATAAGCGCCGCCTTTGGGCTGCATTACTGTGTATTAGCTCACTTTCATCACTTCATAAAATACATTAGTTCATTTAAAATGTGGAAGTATCTATATTTTTTCTTTAACTGCAGAATGTGGGGGTTGGACCAGATGTTCTTTAAAGGTCTCTTCCACCCCAAACCACTCTGTGATTCTGTAATTCTCCAGAGCATGTACCAGCTCTCTGGCGATGTAGCTGGTGAGGTGGATTCTGTTTTATACTGTTCAGTTACCTGGGTATACCCGACCTTCAATCAAAGGGTTACGTTATATTTTTCTGTATCAGATATGTGACTCTTCTTCTTTTTGGAACTTCTTAGACTTTAAGAAGTTGCATGAGGCTCACTTCAAGAAAATGGAATCAATTGCTGACTACATTGAGAGGAAAAAGAAAGTTATTGAAACCTGCAGCAGTTCTCTCAATGAAGTCAAGGTAAGTGACAACACCGGAAGATACACGTTGTTCCCCTATCCATTGATTCCCAGAGTCTCCCTGTAAAAGCCTCGTAGAGCCTCTTTAGAGGAGTAAGTACGTGCAGTGTAATGTGATGGTCAGTGAAGTTTAACTGCAGTCCTATATAACCAGATAGCTATTATGTGGTCATAAGTTTATAGATATTAAGAGTGTATGATTATAGTTACAGCAACCAACAAGTAACTTGTCAGTTTTTAGTAACCTTAAAGCACCATTGTCCAGTGACTGCATATGATTGTCCTTTAAAATACATGTGATACGTTGTTCTCAGTAGCCTTGATTCTCAGTTCTTCTGTTTCACATTTGTATGGGTAAAAGCTGCTAATGGGCCTCTTTGGGAGTGTCAGTAATGTACCAATGAAGATATGAATAAATATGTTGATAGACATGGAATCATAGGATTGCTTAGGTTATAAAAGACCTTTAAGATCATCAATTCCAACCCTTAACCTTGCACTGCCAAGTCCTTATTGAAACAGTAAACACTGAAACTCTTGAACTACATTTCTCTTTCTAAGCTGTGCATTGTAAAAACGTATGCTTAAGACAAATTACTCTTGGCAGGTGCTGACCAAAAAATCCAGTATCTTAAGAGCATCAGAAAAAGGCACTCCTTACAGCACTTCTAAGGTATGTGTTTTCAGATCACTTTTATTAAAGTACTTATGTTTTAAAGAAAGGGGGAAACTCAGGAGACTGTTTCTATCTGAGTCACTATTTTCCTTTCCTCTTAGCTGCTTTTCTGATTAAATGTTTAGCAGTCTGCTAACTCAGGATTTGCTTTTCCCTAGAAACATAACAGCAGCAAAACATTCTTATTCAGCCCAAACCCAGAAAGAGGCAGAATCTCCACCACCTGCACCCCCAGTAACCGCCATCACACACCACGCAGTTCTCTGAACACCAGTCGGAGTATTTTATCCAAGAAATCGTCATTTAACCCTTCTGTCCTTTCAACAACCAAAATGAACGTCAGGTAAAAAGAACAAACCGAACCCACCAGTGAGCTATTTGGTGTGATAAGCATGAAATAATCAATGCTGTGATTTCATTTCATTACTTCTGTTCCAAGCGTTACCAACATGAGACTAATTCTGGTTACTAATGTTCAGCCCAGCTTTAACCAGCTTAAACCAGCCTTACTGTGCTGTTACAACCATGTTTCTTCATTTTGACTTCTGGCAGAGGAGTCGTGCATCTCTTTCAGCTTTCAGTTTCCTAAACCAACCAAACCTAATTATTTTTCTTAATGTTTTCTCTCTTGTCAAGCAAGCTAATCATCTTATATCTGAATTCCTAATATTACTTCCTGCTATTAATGATAGCTCCTAACTTGAAAATTGCCAGTGAAGTTTTTAATGTGGTTTATGCAGAAGCTGTGAATATCTTTTATACTTTCTACCTGTAAGAAAAATAGAACACAGAACCTTCTGTGTTCTGTCATGTTGCTTCTATTCCTTGTAGATTACTAACTTTGTCTTTACTAATAACTTCCAGGTTCTCAGAAGCCACAAAAGATAATGAGCACAAACGCTCCCTTACCAAGACTCCATCTAGAATGTCTCCATACCTGCAGATGTGCACACCTGAGAGCCACAAACCAGCAAGACAGAAAACCAGTGTAGGAAATGCAAGAAATAACGATTCGACTGCAGCAAAGGGTAAAGGTGAGGGTGAGTATTTGGCTCTTTCAGGTCAAGAGTTTTCTCTTACTGAATTATTATTTTTTTTTTTTTTTTATAATCTAATGTCATATAGACCTAGGGTTTAATTTAATTCCTCATTTATGACTGATTCTCTAGAAACTTGCTTACTTTCTTTACTAAGCAAGTTAGGTGCTAAGACTTAAACATATGGTACTAGCTACCTACAGAAAAGGGGATAAAAATAATCTAATAGGGACTTTAGGAGCTATGTAGCTAAAGTTTGTTTAACAGGCACAGGGAGATCCTGTGTGTGGGGAGAGGAGCCCCTGATGCCTTTCAGAGGTCTTGGTCTCCCTGTGGGTTTGATATGTACCAGGCTTCTAGCTGTGTTTTAAGACAACCTATTATTATCAGCTTTACCAACTCTGAGTAACTCGGGAACTAAAGCTCTGTGAGAAAAAGCAGATGTTTAATTGTTACTGATTTCTGCACTAGCACAGGTTTGCTACCTAACCACTGATGTATCACAGGTACATTGGCACGGGTCAAGAACCCAGAGTTGCCTGTCTTCCAGTATGACAATGCTGATCTTTTTTAGGGGGAAAGAAAACTCCCACTGCTGATGAAGCTGGTGTGTTCTAGAACACTTCTTGTTTTAATGGAGAAAACCACTTGGTTCCAAATAGGCACAGAGGGTGGCAAACACAATTTGTTCTGAAAGACTAGAAAATTATGTGGAGGTATATGTGCAGGGGGGTGGAATGAGATAATCTTAAGGCCCTTTCCAACTCAAACCGTTCTATGCTTCTATTGTACAGCACGATCGGAGCAAAAGGGCCAATACTCTATGGCTCTTCCTCTCTCCAGGCCTGAAAGCTGCTATTTCAAGTGAGCTGTATTTGTGCAACTCTGTGGTTAGAGGTAGCAGATGGTATCATTTAGTGGCTCTTTGGTCTTAATACTTATAAGGTGGCCTTCACACGTTCTTTCTGACTTGCTGTCAGTGATGCTGTTGCTACTATAATGAAGTATGGTATTATCTTGATGCCTTTTGCAGCTCTCACCCCCTTCAAGTTCTCAGCTCACCCTGCAGAACCCACAAGCGCCAAGAAGACGTTTGATCTCAAAGCAAGTCTCTCGAGGCCACTTCGGTATCAGCCACATAAAGGTACTATGATCCTTTGCAGTTTGTGTTGGTCACATCCCTTCTACTCAGCTGCTTAAAAGGCATTCACACAAACCATGACAATGAAGTTTTCAGTCTCTTTTCCCCACCCTTTTCCCTTTCTCTCTGGGTTCCCACATAGCCTGTGGACTAACATTAGATTTCTACATAACATATGCTTTAAGAGCCTCCCTGCTGAAGGAGAAACCTTTATGACCAAAAGCCCATAAGAATAAACTTCCTTGTATTCCATTGTGTGTACAGGAAACATATTCCTCACACAATTAAGGTTATTTTTAGTTTAGTTTATTAAAGCATACTGTTGTGTGAGAAGCTTAACTTTGTGTGCTGAGTGTTGCTTTTACGTACAGATACCTGCTACTACTTACAGGAAAACTACTTGTACGGAATGAGCAGGTGAAACTGATAGTACAGCTGAAGAGGCATTTCATCTTAGAGTTGACCAGCAAAAAGCACTCTAGCCAGCATAAAACTCACAACAAGAAGTTAAGCACATAACTACAAAACTAGTGATTCAATAGTATCTTTTTTTTTTTTCCTGAACTTGTAGGACGACTAAAACCTTGGGGAGAATCTAAAGAAAATACTGTTCCAAATAAGCCTGGCAGCAACATCTCTTCATGTAAGAAAGACTACAAACAGCCCCATCTTCAGACAAGGTTAGTACACCATTGGCTTTCTATGAATATTGTTACTTAAAATAATATGATGACTTCTTTGTCTTTTTAGAATTTAAATATGCAGAGAAAGCTTTTGTATTAAAGTGATCTTTGCCTCCAGTAGTCTGTTATCAGGGAAGCCAACAAAGAGGGCAGCTCTGAATCTGACAGACTCTTGTTCTATGAATGCTACTGCCTCTAGGGTTTGAAGTTTTGCCTTCCCCTTGGAGGAAGCTGTGAATACTGACATGCTGTTACCTTGAGTGTTACACCTGTATCTCTAAGCAAAAGTCTTTGCTTCAATGTCTGAAATCAGTCCAAACCAGTACTGCTCTGCCTGCTATTGGCAAATGCAGCACGCTGGTTAAATGGATGCTAGGCCTTGGTCAGATTCCTTTGCTTACTTGTGTGTCTGCCTTAACATAATTTCATGGGGTCTGTCTCTTTCCCCTTCAGGGAAGAAAGGCGGGAGAAACATGAGCAAGAGAGAAAGAAGAAAAAGGCTAAGGTTCTTGAAAACCGCAGAGGAATATCTCTGGGTTAGGAGGAATAGAAATATCTAAGGTATTACTGTAAATAGTAGTCCGGTCATGTAAATATCTGTGCTGTGTGTGTAGTTCAGCTTGCTATTAGCTAGTAGGATCCAGAAAGCATGGAATAAGACTTCAAAGTGCATCTGAGCGTAATGTTTCAGTGATCAACTTCTCCAATGAGATGAGAGTTCTAAACTTTAAGGAGCTTAGAACTATCTCTAGTTGCCTCATGTTTTCCTTTAACCAAAACATGTTAAAGGAGAAAATGTAAGTGGGGGGAAAAAAGATGCTCAGGAAGTCTCCTTGCAACTTAGCCAGACTTCACCTGAATGCATTTGTTACTGCTAGATGCATGCTTTGGATAGCAGGCGTCAAAGTCTTCCATTGGCAAACTACAATTAATTCAACTGCCCCTTTCTCCAAATCAATCCTCCAGTCCTGTGACAGCAATTATTCAGTGTTTCTCATTGCCTATGAGGTAGTAGGGAATTTCTAAGAGCTAAAACATGCAACTTCTCTGGAAAACTGAAAGTTTCCAGCATAATCGTTACACAATGTATTAAAGTCACAACTGAAAGGGGGCTTTACAAATGACCAGTGGGATACTTTGAACAGTTGATGTTGTTTTGTTCCTTTCTGTGCTAAATAGCAGCTGTTAACAGAATTCTTCTGCTTTTCATCTCTCTGATGCTTAAAAGAGGTTACAGTAGTATTGGGGCACATTCAATATGTTAGATTTAAAAGCTGTTTTTATTTTTACCTTTAAAAAGATGCATAGAGCTGTCTGGATTTATGATGGAACTGGAAAGGTACTTCAGCAGCTTTAATCTCAGCTACACTTCTGTACCAATAATTCACGGTGAATTTAGTGTCCTATTGAATATATACTGAAATGTCAAGAACAAGCAGTTTTTTGTTTTTAAAAAAATTAATCTGTAGAATAAATGTTTTGTACATATTCTGTTTTTTTATCACTGATTCTATCATCTAATGTACTACGTGTAACTACCCCCTTAGTGTAGCACTAGTCTTGTTCACACTTTTTTACTACTCAACCTCTTTTTGTGACAAGTTTTCCTCACCAATGAGCCTGCCTATGACTTTATGAAATCACAAAGTGCTTTCATAAAGCATTTTGTTTGTCCTGGTAGCTTTAGAAATGACAACTATCACTCCTCTTATGCTTCTACGCAAGGGGAAAATGATAGTACAAGACACTGCTTCAGTTTGCCTTTGTGGTGGCCTCTTCCATATAAAATATAAGTACGTTTAGTATTTGTCAAGTATACTTAAGGTCACTGCAGCAGAGGTCAGTGCTTTGATTAGACAAATTTATGATGAGTGAAGTGGAACAATTCACACTTGTTCTTTGAAGTGTTTGCCAGGTCATCTAAACCAGACTTCTCAGAGAGAAAGGCATAGAACCTCTGTGCCACCAGCTGCTGCTTTAACTTCTCCCAGTACAGGCATGTTAAGTTAATTGCTCACATCAGACATATAAAGACTCTTAGAAAGACAACCTATAGCTCCCTGAGGAGACAACAGGGATGGGGGCTTCCCCCACCCCCTCCATGAAGCACTACTTCTGTTCAGCAACTTCAGCTCTGGCAAGCTGTAGGATTATCATCACCAGCTTTAAATCAGAAGGCAAGCCTGCTGCACAGCTACTGCTTCAATCTTGGCAGGGGCAGCTTTTTCTTTTTTTAGTACTTCAGAGAAGCCAAAGCTGAAGGTTAAAATACTTCTGCCTCTTCCACTTTTGGGGCTGCTCTCTGTATGTTTCAGCACTGAGTCCCACACTTAAGCACCGTCCATGAGGGTATTAATTCTCCTTATATTTTTTCCAATTTAAAACTAGTGTATACAAGTGTTTCACAATGTCTGTAAACCACAGAACATAGAAAATGAAATTGTGAAAGAAAAAACTAAAAACTACAAGAAGCTTGTGAAATACTTTTATTTCTGTTAAGGTCAGGACAAAAGCTAGAACTTACGCAGTCACCAGTTCCTACTGGGTCACACTCTCCTCAGGCCGTATTCCAGTCCATGTATGTACAGTCTCTCCAGGATCCTGCGTCTGGCAGCTTGAAGACATCAACAGTGTCACTGTAATGTTTACTTAGAATCTTCAAGCTGTGATAAGCCACACCTTCAGAAATGTTTTCTAGAACTAAAGCAGCTGAAGGATGTCCCAAAAGCCACCTGCCCAGCTTAGAGTGGAGGATTCTTTTCATATGTTTCATAGGCAAATTCTTCTGTATGAGCTCTATCGTTCAGCAGGCCAATAAAATCAATTTCCAACTGGAACGGACCATTTACTTTATCTCCAATAGTGAATCCCAGGGTACTAATCTAATTAAAAGATACATGCATTAGAACAGTATGTATAACATTACAAGCAAACACAGTTGTATCTACCACATTTGTATTTTACAATTCATGGCCATCTACTTCATACTGGTATCTGTTCAAAGCGCATTTCATAGAATCAGAATAGTTAGGGTTGGAAAGGACCTTAAGATCATGAAGTTCCAACCCCTCTGCCATGAGCAGGGACACCACCCACTAAACCATGTCACCCAAGGCCTCGTCCAACCTGGTCTTGAACACTGCCAGGGATGGAGCATTCACAGCCTCCCTGGGCAACCCACTCCAGAGTCTCACCACCCTTACAGTAAAGAATTTCCTCCTTATATCCAATCTAAACTTCCCCTGTTTAAGTTTGAACCCGTTACCCCTTGTCCTGTCACTACAGTCCCTAATGAAGAGTCCCTCCCCAGCATCCCTATAGGCCCCCTTCAGATACTGGAAGGCTGCTATGAGGTCTCCATGCAGCCTTCTCCAGGCTGAACAGCCCCAACTTTCTCAGCCTGTCTTCATACAGGAGGTGCTCCAGTCCCCTGATCATCCTCGTGGCCCTTCTCTGGACTTGTTCCAACAGTTCCATGTCCTGTTTATGTTGAGGACACCAGAACTGCACACAATACTCCAGGTGAGGTCTCAGAAGAGCAGAGTAGAGGGGCAGGATCACCTCCTTTGACCTGCTGGTCACACTGCTTTTGATGCAGCCCGGGATACGGTTGGCTTTCTGGGCTGCGAGTGCACACTGAAGCCGGCTCATGTTCATTTTCTCATCAACCAACACCCCCAAGTCCTTTTCCACAGGGCTGCTCTGAATCTTCTCTGCCCAACCTGTAGCTGTGCCTGGGATTGCTCCAACCCAGGTGTAGGACCTTGCACTTGGCATGGTTAAACCTCATGAGGTTCGCATTTCTTAAGGCTTGAACGTTTAACTGTTGTGTTTTCACACAGCTCCCAGTGGGACAGTACTTCACATCTCCCTTTATACTGCTGTGTAGAGCCCTGTATTAGAGATACCCTGAGCCTAAAGCAACACAGCAGTTTGTATCCTTCAAGGTTTGTGTGGCCAGGTTCATCATGACTGGGTGTACAAACACATTTTCATACAGTCTGTTACAATCTTTCATGAGGTGGAAACAGTGTAATTGAGGATGGAAGGGAATGTCCCCTCTGGATCAAGTCCTATACCTGATACAGTGTGGAAGTGCACCACTCCAGACGTTGTAAAATACACAAAGATTTGATACTAAGTTTTACATTAAGGCAAGGTTCTTAGGCACTCTTTCCCAATTAGAATAAGGTTCTTAATAACATTCCTTATTCCTTTCCCCTAATGTACTCCCCCACCACTTCTAAATAACAGAAGCCACCTGAACTCCCTGCTCTGCAGTCTATTCCCCTGCAAGCCTGCAACACGTTGGCTATTTCCTGACTTTATTTCTGCTTAAGAACGCCTTTCCTGGTTCCTGGGAAAACATAACAGCAGCACCATGAGGGACCAAGGCATGTTATCAACATTTCTTTGATGCCTTCACACCACTTCCCTATTCTCCGGTTTCTTTAACATATATTTGTACAACTGCACTTAATAGTATATGCACAGGTTTTACTCTGAAATATTAAACATAAGGCAACAAGAAATGAAAATTAAGTAGAGGATGCTTAGATCAAGCACTGTTCTGTCCCTTTAATATGGGGGACCACATATGACTTGGTTTTCATTTACATTTTGAATTAATCTATATTCCAAATCCTGATAAAGTCTTCAGTGTCTTTATTTAAACACAGGCCTTTTATAACAGCTTTCTTCCAAAAACCTATTTTTAGTTTTAGTTGATCCACCTTCCTCACATCCACACTTTCTTCCTACAGCCTCAACTTCTGGTTTAGAACAGATTGGTTTCAAGCTGTCAACCACTGACTTGCTCTCAAAGTTTTCTCAATTTGTTAGCGTTTGTTCTTTCATTACACAATTAGGAATGAAATGCAACATTATCATAGAATCACAGGTTTGAGCTGGAAAGGACCTCAAGATCATCTAGTTCCAACCCCCTGCCATAGGCAGGGACACCTCACACTAAACCATGTCACTCAAGGCTCTGTCCAACCCAGCCTTGAACACTACCAGGGATGGAACATTTAACTAACACAACTCAAGTAATGGGCCTTTTATTTTCTCCCCATGTATATTTCTAACATTGTCTGTTTTCCTGTTGGTAGTCACTGGATATTAAGCTGCCCTCGATTACATAGAGGAGGGTCACTGAATTTTAAAAGACATAAACATTATTTTCCAATGTCTCCCATGAATCAGGGGATTAGTTTACTTACTTGGAGAAAGTAAATAAAAGATACCACATTTATTTAATACTTAGACTAGTATTAAGGCCTGAAAAACTAAAAAAGAGCCTATAAGTCTATGCATTTACTAATCACCATCAAGGGCACATCCTCAAATAAAATCTCATGCCAGTCTTCTACTGGGAAGCACATTTACAGTATTTCTACAGCCCAGTGCCAAGTGGCATTTGAGATTTCTCAGTCACTTTGATCATTCCTCAAAAGAATCTTACTAATCTTTTTCTTTCAAAAGCCAAGTGAGCTGATTCTTGGTTATATAGATCTTTTGAAAATATTTTTGGAGCTCCTTTGAAGTAAATTGACACTGCTATCACAAAGTAGGATAATGTAAATGCAAAGATGAGCATACAGGGGTAAGTACTTTATAGCAAGAAGAGGCCCTTCGTTTTCAAATTCACAAACATTAAAGGATTTGTAAATTATATCATGACAATATAATCTTAAATGCAATTTCAGACAGATAAAGGCTATAGAAAACTTGCCTTGTCTAGCCAGATAGGATGCTGGTCATCCTGCACTCTTCCCCGACTGGAGATGAAGAATTTGGAGAATGGAATCTGACAGAAACAAACCAAACACAGAATTTAGTGTCACCAATACATAAAACAAAAGGCTTAAGAAAAAATAAAAGCCTGCCTTAAGTAAATTAAGTAATGCTACATGTGGCCCCAACATTAGCAGGTACATGGAGCAGTGGGCCACATTAAACCCTTCACTGACCACCCACAGGCAGCCACTGGGTTTGTAGTCATCATGCAGGGTTGTTACCCTGTGAGGACACAAGGAGAGGCTGCAGCACAGAAGCTTACATCCAGAGTATCTCCTTCCAGTAATGTCAACATAAAATGGAAATGAAGAAATCTAGCACATACATGTGTTGAGAGCTCATCTGTACCCAAGTTGTCTATTTCAGAGTGCATACTTCATACTGAGACAGCAGTATCCTAGGGTAAGCTGTTCAGAGTAACCTAAAAGCACTTTGAATGCAGTGGGAGCAAGAAAGGAGGGGCTTTGATAACAGGTAGGGAACAAGAGGGTTGGCTGATGAGGAGAGGAAGACATGCAAGCCAGCAATGCCACTCCTGACTCCTCACCTGTGAAAGAGTGGGCTGTTCTCATATGACTGGATATGGTATTATGAAGCACTCAGTGCCAGTGCATAAGGGTGTGCAAACCCCCTCATCATTGCTAGCAGCAAATTACAGACATTCCCCAGTTTTGATCAGAAAAGAGCCAAAATTCCCATAAATGTGTCACAGATTCAAAGGCCAAGAATGACAAACCACACTGAGTCTGACTGACTCCAGGAAGTGGGTTTAGCAAATTGTGTCACAGGGTCCAAATCCTACCCCTGCCTATGTCCATTTTTACTACATGGTTATCGCAGAGATTGTTCATGGCACACCTGCTAAGCTTCAATAGCAGCATTGATTCCATTACTCCAGTAATAGATCTAGCAGCTGTTCCACAAAGTGGGTCAAATCTTTAGTACAGTTTGTATGGTGCACCCTCCCACAGCCCAGCCTGGGGAACTCCCAAGCCAAAGGCATATGCCAGCTGCACAAGGATACATAACAAACAGCAATACCAACAAGCTGTGACTATGGAAAGACTTCCCCTTCCACGGAGCCAGGACCCCAGGAGAGTCTCGTTAGTTTGAAAGACTCATTAGTTCACCTTTATTTCCTCCCAGTATGGGCCACCGCGGGTGAACATGAAGTAGTTGTAGAGGTCTTCCTTTTGGTGAGAGAAGTAAGGGTCTGTGTAAATGTTTACCATCCAAGGTCTGCCATCACCACGCACACGTAAATACAGACTGTTGAAGTTTGACCAGTCATAATACTTCTTTCTAGCAAAAGATCCCTACAAATTATTAAGAAATAAAATTATTCCTCCTTAATAAAAGGAAACTATGAAGAACAGAGCACTACTGCTTTTAACACTGCCCTCGTTATTATGTCAAATAGCATCCACTGTGACATAGTGAAAACTGGGATGCCCTTACATCATACCAGCTGCTGATCTCTGAATTTCCTTCAGCACTGTATCAGAGCACACAAATAGCAGTATTACCACTCTGTTGACTCCTGCTTTAACTATAAACCACAATCTTGTAATGATCAGAGATCAGACTTCCTTCCTAGGGCCAAAATCCCTACCAGGCAAGTACACAAACACTACAGTGATGGATCAGTAGTGACGCAGTTCATTAAGTTTAATAGTCTGTGGTCAGTACTAGATTATTCAGAGGAGATTACAGGAAAGAGAAGAAGTGAGATAATTTATCCCGTGTATAACTTTTCCTACTGAAGACTGATATAAGCACTGGAAGCACTTAATGTTCTCCAACACTTTATGTCATTAACTGTGCATAATAATTGCAAGCATTTCTAATTATTTCCCCCCCTAAGATCTTAAAAGTCCCAATGTTATGATTTGCACATAGGCAGATCCAAGAGTCTTCAGAGAGTTACCACCGAGGTCATCTGGAGCCATGAAAAGCAGGGATCAGGTCTATTCTTGGCCAGAATTGCTTAAACCAAGTCAAAATGAGTACCAAAACCTCAAAGATTTCCCCTTTATTTTA